CCAGCCTGGGAAAAAAGAGCAAAACTCTGTCTCAAAAAAAAAAAAAAAAAAAAAGAATTCCTGACCTTTTTGTAGTAAGAATCTACTTTTTCATCTCCCTGGGATCTCAAGATCGCTGGGGAGACACGAGAGGGAAAGCTGGCTGGCAGTGAAACAGGTGATATGGAGAAGGGGAGGGACAGGAATTGGTGCTGCCATTAGAAGAGAGTCCTCAAGAAAAGCCGGGACTGGGACACACAGTGGGAGCCACTGTGTTGTGTGTGTTGGATGCCTCCTGCCTGGGATCTGTCTTCCCAACCCGCAGGAGTGGCTCTGGCTGTTCTGTTTTAGCTATTTCATCTTGCTTGTTTGGATCTTTCCCAGACTCACTGAGATGGATACTCAGCATCTTTCAAATACATGCCCTGTTTGTTTAAGATTAGCCAGAATCTTTTTCATAATCACTAAACCTTCACTAAAATGACCCTCTAGGATCCCAGCCTCACCAGGAATCCATGACTCAAGGAGTGGGGTCAGGGGAGAGCTTCCAGAGAAGGTATTCTAAGCATATTCCAAACCACTGGGTGGGAATTCCTGTTATGTAGGAAACCTGTTTTCCAAGATAGAATTGATGTGGCTTTTTTTTTTTCTTTTCTTACCTTCTCTCTATCCCCAACATCAGAGTATACATATCAGCTGGTTCAGGGCTCTATGTAACTTGATATTACCCATGCTGAAATTCAACAAAATTTGGCATTTGGTAATCATGTGGCCTATGTTCCCATAACTACCTAAGTAATTGCCTAGATGGCTATTTTGGTAACCAGAGAGTAAATGGCCCAGAATCCATCCTTTAATCTAGCAAGCAGAATGTTCTAAGGTAGAAGCCTGCAGAATGGGCAATTACTTAGCTGTCCTGCACCTTCTTCTGTGCTAAAGGTGGGGAGCCCTGGCCACCCCTAGGGTAAGCCGATTTGTGCTATAAAGCACGAGTGACCCTCAAACCAGACTTTCAGGAGCCAGACTACAATGAAAATTTAGCAGGTCATCCCACACTCCTTTACTGTTTAGAAAGACGCATAATTATTCTGATCCTGCTGAATGAGGACTACACAGTACAAAGCTATAGGATCCTAGTGGGAGACTTCTTAAGGCAATGCCCACAAACTCTGCTTGGGTTCCAAAGGGCCCTCTTTCTCCCCATGGATTTCCATGTATGATTATACTCTAGCTTTGGAAATGCAATAGAATGTAGTGGTTAAGAGGCTGTTCTCTGAAGCCACACTACCCAGGTCCATATTCTCAGCTCCACCATTCATTAGCCATGTCACCTTGAGCAACGGACCTAACCTATGCCTCAGTTTCCCTATCTGTAAGATGAAACTAATGATAGTACCTATCTCATCAGATTGTCCTGAGAATTAGATATGAACTTGTTTAATATACGTGAAGTATGTGGACAAGTCTCAGCACTCAGGCCGCATGTTATAAGGAAGGGCGATATTATTCTGAGCCTGGGTTAGAAATGGAAAAGAAAAGAACATATGAGAAACAATGATGTCCCAAAATGTGACTAACTACTTGCCACCAATCTGAATTCTAGAGTTGCCTTGTTACCTCATTCAACATACATTTATAAAAACTCTTTACTGAGCAGCAACCATCATGAAGGATCAGGTGATACAGGGACAGCAGCAAGGTGGAGGTGGGAAGGCAGGTTCTTGTTCAGTACACACACCTAGTACATGTGTTTGAAAAATTAAATGTGATTCCACTGTACAGTACTAAATGCTGGGTATAAAGCAGTGAGCAGCAGGCACAGATCCCTCATCTCATAAAGGTTTCATTCTGGTAGAAGAGATGAATTTTAAACAATCAGCCCAGATCAAATATAATAATAAATTGTGTCATAATTTACGAAGGAAAAATGCAGGGTGCTAAAGGGTACATATCAGAGGGAGAGGGAGTGTTGTGTCATAGAAAGTCATGAGGCTAGAAGGACAAATAGGAGTTATCCAAGCAGAGTCAGGAAGACATAGTCCAGATGTAGAAAACAACATGTACAAAGACCCCACAGCGGGAAAGAGCTCGTGTTCAAAGAACTGAAAGAAGGCTGGAAGGTCCATTAGATAAAGGGTGATGTTGGGGTCAGGGGAAATGATTACAAGAGGAATCAAGAGAGCTGGAAGACACATGCACTGCCATTATTATATAGAGTGAGGAAAGAACATGGTTCTTGGGTCTCTTCCAAGTCTCCCATCCTCCAAACTTTCTAGTTACTTCATATTGAAAGGATGAAACTGAAAGTCTTTTAGCAAATCAAGATAAGGAAAAGCACTTAAGCTGCTTACTTATATAAGACAGTAGCTTAAAAATATCTCTGTTCACGCAGTGGGTATTGCTTCAGAGGGTAGCTTTGTCTTTCGATGATATAATTTACTTCAGACGTAGAATCTTCCTACAACAAAAACGAATCCAGCAATTTTTATTATCCATAACATAACAGAGATGGATGATACCCAGATATGTAGTTTTGCATGTAAGAGGTCTGTGCATCCCATTTATGCTGTATATGGGGTTCACTATATATGTGTGTATGTGGAGTCTTTCTTTTTTTTGTAGAAGCAAGGTCTCATTATGTTGCCAGGCTGGTCTTGAACCTCCTGGCCTCAAGGGATCCTCCTTCCTCAGCCTCCCAAAGTACTGGGATTACAGGTTTGAGCCCCAAACCAGGCCTTTGTTTACATTTTAAAGAGATTCCTTACTTGAAAAGGTTGGGAATTAAAGCAAGGCCAATGGCTTTGCAAAAAAGAAGTAAAATAATTCACTACCCCCATGGTTAGGGTAAACAACATTTAAGTGTCATCCTGCAAATCTACCATATGCCAGTATTTAATAAGCCGAGAAGACTCGTTCAACTACATGGCATCATTAAATTCAGCCACTGGGGGCACTGTTAACCTTTATTTGAATTCTTTTGAACTGGTGAAAGGCCACTTAGCTGTGTATCTGAAGCAGTGACAGAGGGCTGGGAATATCTACCAATGAATCAGAAGCACTCCCCACACCTCCATAAAAGTCATACAGCCAAAACCACCTTATTAAATTTAGAACAAGTTTCTTCCAGGTTGTGGCCTTACAGAGCTCACACATCCAACTGTATTCCTCCCTGGATTGGGAGTCATGTGTGCAGGGGAAGAGAATGTTCTGTGAGCCTGTCTTCCCTTTTGAAAGGACCTCTGCTTGATGACTGCTGTGAATCAAATTAGCTACTACTTTTCCGTCGGATCCAAGCCCCATTGTCTCATCCTCATGGAGCCAGATCTGACTCCCAACCAAGTCAAGTACCTGTCGGTAATTTCCTCTCAGGACAAAAGGTAATCTCCTCAGTAAGCCTCACAATTTTCCACTTACTTTTGTGGTTATTTGATTAATGTCTGTCTCCCCAACCAGACTGTAAGTCCATGTTCCCATATTATTTAGTGAGCAAATATCTAGTTTTATAACAAAGTCCAACCTTGTTTTTGTGCTGCTGAGCTCTGTGGGCTGTCAGAAGACTGCATACCCTCTCATGGATATTCTTCCATGTGGACTGAGAACCAGGATGGAACCTGCACAACAGATGGAACAGGGTGGAGTAGTAAGCATCTACCAAAAAAGACACTTAAAGCATTTGACAATATGGATTGATATTTAAAACTTAATCATCATTAAAAAACAGCAGCATCCAAAATGGTAAACGTAGTGTGATTTCAATGTCTCTCTTAAACCTACCCATAGGGAAAGCACTGGGGAATAAAAACTGCTCAGATATTAAGAATTTTTTGTGTTTCTATGTGTGGCTGAGTGATTCTTTTCTTCTTTATACTTTCCTGTGTTTTTAAGATATTTCTCTCATGAACAAACAAATTTAAAAAAATGTAAATTTTAAATTTACATTTAAAATTTTAATCCAAAAATTTTTAACAAAAAACTTAATCCCAGTTGCTGTTGTTTTAGGGATAGGGTCTTGCTCTGTCACTCAGGCTGAAGTACAGTGGCATGATCATAGCTCACTGCAGCCTTGAACTCTTGAACTCAAGCAATCCTCCAACTCCAGCCTCTCACATACAGAAGACTAACTAGGTACATGTCATCATGCCTGGCTAATTTTTTTTCTTTAAGAGATAGGGGATTGCTATGTTGCCCAGGCTGGTGTCAAACTCCTGGGCCAAAGGATCCTCCCACCGCAACCTCCTAAACAGCTGGGACTACTGGTATGCTCCACCATGAGGAGCTAATTTTTAAATATTTTGTAGAGACAGGGTCTCCCTGTGCTGTCCAGGCCTGTCTCAAACTCCTGCACTCAAGTGATCCTCCTGCCTCAACTTCTCAAAGTGCTAGAATTACAGGTGTGAATCACTATGCCCAGCCCCCAATCCTGGTAGGATAAAATCCTACCACCAGGATTTTATCTTATATCTCATTTTCTTTAGGCCACCCAGATTCCAAACTGAACCACAGGTTTGATAGTCTCTTTCAGTTCCTCAAACATAGAACATTTTCTACCTTCCATATGCATTTGGCAACACTATTTGTTCCCTCTTCTACTTTCCAATCCCTCTCCCTACTCTTATTAACTCCTACCCACCCTTCAGAGCTCAGTTCAATTGTTGAGCTCTCAGCAAATCCCTTCTGAGCCCTCTCCTAAAGAGTAGGTCAGCTTCCCTGTTATACGCAATTGCGGTTTCATTTATCTATACCTCATTAATATCACTTGCACCAGTAGACATTTTGTCATTATTTGGTTAGTGGTGGTTTTTACTTCTAGAGTGAAATTGAAGCTGAGAATCTTTGCTTAATAACTCATCCCAGGACAAAGAGGAACTGAATACCACAGTAAGTATTTAATAAATATTTCTTGGGTGACTAAATTCATTCTCTCATTCATTCATCATCCATTCATTTGTATTCAGGAGAGGGATGGTTACCAAATCCTAAAGTCTGAGGTATAACTAAGCTAAAAGTGTACATAGCAATTTAATAATGAAAGGCACAGATACTGTTTTCAAAAAACACTCAAAGAATTATAGCCACTTGGGGTCAGGCACGATGGCTCACACCTATAATCCCAGCACTTTGGGAGGCTGAGGCAGGCGGAACACTCGAGGCCAGGAGTGCCATACCAGCCTGGTCAACACGGTAAAAACCCATCTCTAATAAAAGTACAAAATATTAGCCAGTGTGGTGGCGGTACATCTGTAGTCCCAGACACTTGGGAGGCTGAGGCATTAGAATTGCTTGAACCCAGGAGGCGGAGGTTGCAGTGGGTCGAGATGGCACCACTATACTCCAGCCTGGGCAACACAGGGAGACTCTATCTCAAAAAAAAAAAAAAAAGAAATAAAAGGAAACAAGAAAAGATTCTCTTTATTTAATGTACAGTAAACACTGGAAATGACAGGAACATCTGGAAATTTAGTTGTTACTATGGCTACCATACTAATGACCGCCCTGTGCTGCTGCCCCTCTGCTTGGCTGGTTCCGGCCCACATCCGGGCCTCCATTCCAGCTCTCTCTGCAGCAAGCATGTCCCATTGGTTTCCAGGGAAACAAGACCAAGAGTACGAATAAATCTAAACAAATCCATTGCCAACCCAAGAAAACTCATAGCAAATGGAAGCACCACCTAAAGCACTGCCCATGTTTAAGACTACATACATTATTTCTATGCTTCTCTAGAATTTTTTTTTTTTTTTTTTTTTTTTTAGCCAGAGTCTCATTCTGTTGCCCAGGCTGGAATGCAGTGGCACAATCTCAGCTGACTGCAACCTCCGCCTCCTGGGTTCAAGCAATTCTCCCGCCTCAGTCTCCCGAGTAGCTGGGACTACAGGCATGCGCCACCACATCCAGCTAATTTTTGTATTTTTAGTAGAGACGGGGTTTTGCCATGTTTGCCAGGCTGGTCTTGAATTCCTGACCTCAAGTGATCTGCCCATCTCGCTTCCCAAAGTGCAGAGATTACAGGAGTGAGCCACCACGCCCAGCTTTTCTTGAAGAATGTTTAAGAGGAAGGAATAGAAATATGTTGAAGCTATAAATAAAGCTATCATTTAAAAACAGCCACCAGCAGCTGGATACAGTAAATGTTTTTTCATAGGTCTGGAGTAACCAATACCGAAGGGACCCCTATATTTGTTACCATTATTGTTACATGCAATTTATTTTACATTTGAAGATCTTGGAGACTGATGAGTCAACAGACAGCAGCAGGGCTGTGCCTTTACTACAGCCTTCTCCATGGGCTCTACCTTCTCCTCGAGCAATGTGGTGGGAGAGGATAATGCTGAAGGGGCATGATACTATTCAGAAGGTGGATATAGGGAACAGGCGTGGCAGTGTTCCTCCCTCCTTTAGTACTACCATTGTTCACTCTGATAAAGCCTTTTCTACTTCTTCCATTCAAACCTTGGGCTGACTCTCACTCCGAAATTTGTCTCCCAATTCGTTCCTACAAGCTTGGCCCTTACTGAGTTCACCTGCAGAAACGCAACAGGTATTCTCATGCACCCTTGTGATCTGGGCACAGAGAAGGCGGTCCCGAAAGTCCTGGGGTGGAAAGAACAGCGAGTGAGTGGAGGCACAGTGCTGGCAACTCCCAGTGTCCCGGGAATCTGCCCCTGTGATCACTCTAAAGCCAACGGGCAATGGGTTCTTCTGCAAGAATAGGAAGGTCACGTCCCTCATTCAAAAGAACTGTTGTTAAAATATTATCTTCAGGGCCACTTCTCTGGTGTTAAGGTGACCAGCTGTCTTAGTTTACCTGGGACTGAGGGGTTTCCCAGGATGCAAACTTTTGGTACTAAAACCAGGACAGCCATGGGTAAACTGGATGGCCCCTTTGTGGTTGTGTTATTCTTTATCGCTGATAATCATGGCCTATTTACAAACACATAGTCCAACTAGATCCCAAGTTACCAGTTTAGAGAGACTTTGGGCAGAAAGAATTTTCTGCCTCATCAGAGACAGTCAATAAAACTCTGGTCTGCTCCTAAGACTCATCTTTCTGAAATCACTTGTGTCTACTCCTGTGACTAACATCACAGAGCGCCTCACTCCTTCCAAGCAAAGCCCAAACTCCCTAGGTCAGCCAACAAGGTCCCCCTCAGAACTTTGAGCCCTGGCACCCACTTTCTCCCAAACTCATCTCACTGCTGGAAGCTGACAGTGCCCCTGCCTGCCATCTCCCCTCACTCACCTCCATGAACCCCATCATAATCCAATCTTCTCCCCTTGTGGCCACAAGAAAGCATCACCTCCTCCACAAAACACTCTGGAAGTACCACCTTCTTCTTTATACTCCAGTAACTTTTGTTCCACAATATTCACAAAGTTCTGCCTTGTAGAAAGCTCTTTGCACGCTTTTCTATTATTATTTTTTATATCTTCTGCTAGGTTGCAAGTTTTCAGAGATCAGAAGAAATGTCTTAAATGTTAGTGTTCCCATTCCAGGCCTAGCAGATTGAGTATCAATCCTGCTTTCCCTCTTAACCACGGATTTCATGTGCTCCCCGCCCACACACTCAATTCCAATCCCAGTTGATTCTGACTCAGTAAACATGAGGCAATTCTTCTTTTGGCCAGAGTTGAGAATTGCTGGCCTGCTGCATAAAGACACTCAGGAAAGGCTGGCTGAATGAATGCATAAACCATCTAATATGTATTTAAAGAGAAAAGAGTCCTTCTCAGATCTCTCTCCTGATGGAATTAATTTCCTCCCACTCTTTCTTTCCCCTGCATTTGGATTGTACTTCTGTTAAGTACCTACCACAATCTATCTCATATTCAGTGACATGGCAGTATGCCTGCCTTCCTGTCTAGTGTGTGGACCAGTGGAAAGCACAGATGTGTTGTGATGGTGTCTACTGCCCATAACAGTGGACCAGTAACAGCGTGCTCAATACAGTCTCTCAGAAAAGCTTGCTGTACCGACTTTAAGGAGTTTGGGGGGTGTTATATATACAAGGCAGAGGGACAGAAACCATGGCTAACCCCAGTTCTGGCATCTGAGAAGCATTTTATGTCTGTAAGATGGATCTTTGATCATCACGCCCATTTTATTTTATTTTAAGACAGCCTCGTTGCCCAGGCTGGAGTGCAAAGGTACGATCTCAGCTCACTGCAACCTCTGCCTCCCAGGCTCAAACAATTCTCTTACCTCAGTCTCCCAAGTAGCTGGGATTACAGGCATATACCATCATGCCTGGCTAATTCTGTATTTTTAGTAGGGATGGGGTTTCTCCATTTTGGTCAGGCTGGTCTTGAGCTCCTGATTTCAGGTGATCCACCCACCTCGGCCTCCCAAAGTACTGGGATTATAGGCGTGAACCACTGCAACCAGCCCATCACAGCCATTTTGAAGATGAGGAAACTGAGGTCTAAAAGGTTGAAGCCGGGCACAGTGACTCATGCCTGTACCCAGCACTTTGGGAAGCCAAGACAACTGCTTGAGTCCAGGAGTTTGAGAAGACCCTGGGCAATACAGTAAGACTCCGTCTCTAAAAAAATTAGCTAGGCATGGTGATGTGTACCTGTAGTCCCAGATACTCAGAAGGCTGAGGCAGGAGGATTGCTTGAGCTGGGGAGGTCAAGGTTACAGTGAGCTGTGATTGTGCCACTGCATTCCAGCCTGGGTGACAAAGCAAGATCCCACCTCAAAAATAAAAATTAATTTAAACAATAGATTGAGTAGCTGTGTGAAATCACCCAGCACTTAAAGACACTTGAGCACTAAGGCCCATGTCTACTGACCACTGCCAATTGAAAGTTCTTTCCATTCTTCGTTTAAAACCAATCCTCTACAAGTCTTTAAATCGAGGATAATCTCCTGTGCTTTGACAATGTGCTGAATTCCAGGCTGGTGGCAAAAGCATAAGACAGGAGGGGGCCGGGCGCGGTGGCTCACGCCTGTAATCCCAGCACTTTGAGAGGCCGAGGCGGGTGGATCACGAGGTCAAGAGCTCGAGACCATCCTGGTCAACATGGTGAAACCCCGTCTCTACTAAAAATACAAAAATTAGCTGGGCATGGTGGCGCGTGCCTGTAATCCCAGCTACTCAGGAAGCTGAGGCAGGAGAATTGCCTGAACCCAGGAGGCGGCGGTTGCAGTGAGCCGAGATCGCGCCATTGCACTCCAGCCTGGGTAACAAGAGCGAAACTCCGTCTCAACAAAAAGAAAAAAAAAAAAAAGACAGGAGGGGACAGAGGCTAGGCACAGAAAGGGGTTGTGTGTCTCTGACCACCTGTCTCTGTGTGCCAGAGCCAGTTTTTAAAAAATCTATGTTATTCTTTTCTTCTAATAAAGTAACTAATCAAAAACTCACCATACATTAATTGATTTTATTAAAATATTTGATCTGACTTCCTTAAATCCATGATTTAACATTTGAATATAGACTTATTTTGCCATTTCTGAAAACACTAAGAAGGGATTGCCACTTTCTTAGTATACCTCAAAGTTAATATAATTCCTGTAAAAATTTCAGGGCTACTGTGATTCTGGGATATATTTACTCTGAGTCTCTCTGTGAGCAATTGTGTTATTTTGGTATGCAGAGTTTGCTTCTTATTCTCGTCACTAATAATGCAGAGAAAAGCAGATTGGCATATCCTTCATTCAAAACAATGATCTTATAAATATTATTTTCAGTGCCACTTTCCTGAAGTTAAAGTAACCAACTGTCCTGGTTTGCCTAAGACTCAAGGGTTTCCTAGAATGCAGGCCTTTCAGGCTAAAATTAGGTAGACCCAAGCAAACCAATGGTTCCTTACTCTACTTAGAGAGTGCAGTTTAGCAAAAAAAGATTTCTGCTCTTACTCTCTGACCTGCTCTCCAGACATATGCAAATGCATTTTTATGGTTTGTGAAAATAATGTAAACAAAGAAATCATGTCTAAAAAAAGACTATACACTCATATGCTAACAACATTTGTCTTTGGGTAGTAGGACTATGTGTAATTTTTTTCACTTTTTTTTTCTGTAATTTTCAAACTTCCGGTAGTGAACATTTTTGTACTGGTAAAATAAAAAGGGTTAGTTTTTAAATTTATGACAAATAAAAATAGGTATCTAAATACTACCTATGTCAAAGTTAGTTGTCTATCCCATTTATAGCAAATATCCTGATAAATGCTTTCCAGAGGCAAGAGGAAAGGCTCCACTCTGACTTTTGGGTAGATTTTTAAAGAAACGATCATTTTTTCATATCAAGGTGTCACCAGCTGAATATTCCTAAGAAAAGAAACTGATGAAATGACCTCGCTTTACCCCTGCCAGGCCACAACGTACTCTTCAGACAAACAGATGGGTGCTTGCCACTGACCTTTTTCGGAGAAGGGGCTGATCCAGGGGGCCAGGAGATCTGGAGTGCTGGGAGGTAGAAAATGAAGCTTTCCCATGGAAACTGGCATCCCCTTGTTTACTGGGTGAGGGCTTTCCAAATTTACTTGAATCTAAATGTGATGTTGACTCGCTCCTTAAAACAATCCGTTCATCTGGCTCTTTAATAATCTGAGTGACAATGCACATTTAGTTGTAATTTTGCTTCTGTTTGCTTAATTTAGAGCTTGGGATGGGGTTGGACAAGGAAGACAACTAGGGCTAAGACGACAGAATATTGGCCCAGGGATGTCCTGCAAATAGAACAGGGTCTGGAGCAGAGAAGACTAGCAACAAAATGCTCAGGAGTTAAGACCAAAGAAAAATAACCAAAAGTCTGTATGTTTGAGATATATTAATAAACCAAAATAAACTCATGCTCTGAACTTTGATTTCTGGGGACTAGGGATTATTGGATCTGGGAAGAATATAATTTTAACAAAATATTTAAGCACTATGGCTTAAGAAATATAGTATATTCCATTTTCTTTGCGTAAATCTATTCTCATATTGTGCCACAGAAATTTGAAGCTTCACTTTGACAAACCAATCAAGCTTCAAGAACAAGCGATTTGCCACCTCTATGTATAAAGGTATTTGATTAGAGAAAAAGCAATGAAAATAACTATCAATAAAGTAGGTATTGGGTATAGACACACCCTCCTTGGTGATTCATCCTACTTATATAAGGGACACAAACCAACTAACCCCAAAACAAAGTATAACATGGCGTCTGGACACATCTGCATGTAGACACTAAACTATAGCAATTCCACCTACGCAGACTAACTAAAAATATCCACCACTGATTGGAAAAAGCACAATAATTGATATAAGATAGCTGGAAGTAAATCATTTTACAAATTCTACTTCTAAAATTACCTTTATGTTAGCTGCAAGGCTGTCAAGAGAAGAAGCTACAAGAAAGAGGAACAGGTGTTTCAATGACTCATTAATACCATTTCACTTTAAAACTGCCATTATATGTATTCTACAGCAGTACAAAAATTTTAGACAATGAATGAATTATTTAAAAACTTAAATGTTCCCTTGTAAATTACACTATCACTTTTAAGTCTCCCTTGAGAGGTCAACAATGAGGTTTTATTTTCAATGACAGCATACATGGAAGGGGGAAGGGTAAGGCAAGTCTAAAGTGAATGTGGAATTTCAATAACTCTTAAGCAGCCTGAAAAACTCATATTTGAGCAGGTGCCCAAAACCTGAAAGAAAGTACTGTGGTCTAATATAAAATTTATAAACTCTTGCCTCCCCTGCCATTATCTTTGGGTTTCATGGAATCCCATTGATGCAGGAGTTCTTGAATATAATTGTCCAAGATGGACACAAATGTTAACTTGAGACAACAAATATGTAACAGCTTGGAAAAACATAGAACATAGCAAAAACGGAAATCATTATGATGACCCTCAATGATCATGATAGGTAAGTAGACCTAATGCTTGAGTACACTAAGGCTGACTAGGAAATTAAGCATGAAATACATACAGGGAAAGTGAAGACTAGGTTGGACTTTTCCAGGTTGATTTAAAAATGTTTTTAAAACGAGTATTTGTAAGGCAATGCTAAGGTCACCATGGCTTCCCCCAATGTGACCGGGACTCAGGCAATGACAAGGGACTTTTTCTGCACTGCTGATCCCGCTCCCCATGTCACTGGTAGATATAAAATGAGATTTTTTTGAAATTCTGACCATTTTCATATCCTTTGGGCATACACATATGTATGTGCCACCTTGTCCCAGGAACTCTCTTCTCTCCCACCCCCAGCTAGGGCAGAGAGTTAGCAATGCTAAGGCCCTTTCAGCAATAGCCACAAACCTGCCCTGTGGCCTCACAACCTCCTTCCTTCTGGTTTTGAGCCCTTCCTTTCACAGAGGGAGCTCGCCTTCCTTCCCTTGCTTCTCAAAGTGCAGTCCATGGATTAGCAGCATCCGTATCACCTGGAAGCTTGTTAGAAAAGGAAAATCCTAAGCTCCACACCAGCCCTACTGAATCAGAATCTGCAGTTTAACAAGAGCCCCAGGTGATTCAAATGCACATTCAAGTTTGTGAAACACTTCTGTATTCTACCTTAGGCCTGGATGAATGAGCTGACAAGTGACCTAAGCAAAGGTCTGGCTTGAAAGCTACAGGGATTCCAAGGATCTGAGCCCAGAGGTTTGAATGTCTTCTCTAAATGTAGGCAGGCCAAAAACTTGATGTGTGACCTTTACACACACTGTAACCTCTCTGGAACCTTAGTTTTTTCCACCTGCCAGGATTAAGAAAAGACAAAGGCCAAGACCGTTGTGATATGTGAGTCCCATCACAATAGAGCCTGCATTAAACCCAGCTTGACCTCCCTAGGAAAGGACATTTGCTGTTGCCTGATTTCTCTGCAGTAGGGAAAACAATGCTGCTTCATAAGCTACACAGGTGATTTTCAATTCAAAGAACTTAAATTAAATGCCATAGGTAATGAAGCACTTTCTGCTTCAAACCCTGTACTCTGTCCTTAGCCAGCTGCTGTCAAACGGCCACCACAGTCTAAGAATACTAGCTTAAGTCACCATAAGAGACTTAAAAGTAGCCCCTTAAAAGACTTTTAAGTCTAAGAAAAGAAATTCTACTGTCAGGGATGGCAATAGATGGAAAATCCAGTACAACTAGCAGGCAAACAAATGGACCGCCACCATTCCTTTCCAGCCTAAGAATTTTGATTAAGCTCAGGAATGGCTGATCTTCACTGACATGACCTTCACTACTGACATGATTCATGGATTTCAGTCAAAAGCCTACAAGGGATTCCTTAATCCAGTGACTCTCAATGTGTAGTCCAGGGATCTCTTCCAGGGGTTCCCAAGACCTATCATGAGATCTGCAAGGTCAAACTCTTTTCATAATGATACTAAGACATGATTTGCTGCTTTCATTCTTATTCTCTCATGACTGTACAATGGAGTTTTCCAAAAGCTACAATGATGTCACGGCATCACCATTTGGATGGCTAATGGAATGTGTGCTACTCTATTCTTGTATTTTATTTTATTTATTTATTTTTTTTTTTTTGAGACGGAGTTTTGCTCTTGTTACCCAGGCTGGAGTGCAATGGCGCGATCTCGGCTCACCGCAACCTCCGCCTCCTGGGTTCAGGCAATTCTCCTGCCCCAGCCTCCTGAGTAGCTGGGATTACAGGCACGCGCCACCATGCCCAGCTAATTTTTTGTAGTTTTTAGTAGAGATGGGGTTTCACCGTGTTGACCAGGATGGTCTCGATCTCTTGACCTCGTAATCCACCCGCCTCGGCCTCCCAAAGTGCTGGGATTACAGGCTTGGGCCACCGTGCCCGGCCTATTCTTGTATTTTAAAAATTTATCAGTTTTAGCCAGGCGCAGTGGCTCACGCCTGTAATCCCAGCATTTTGGGAGGCTGAGGCAGGCAGATCACAAGTTCAGGAGTTCAAGACCGGCCTGGCCAATATGGTGAAACTCCATCTCTACTAAAAATATAAAAAAAACTAGCTGGGCCTGGTGGCATGTGCCCATAGTCCCAGCTATTTGGGAGGCTGAGTCAGGAGAACTGCTTGAACCCAGGAGGCGGAGGTTGCAGTGAGCAGAGATTATGCCACTGCATTCCAGCCTAGGCAATAGAGGGAGACTCTGTCTCAAAAAAAAAAAAATTATCAGTTTTAATTTCTAACATGCTAAATACTGATATTATCCACATCAGGAAAAGCTCTTTGGGCTCCTCAAGAATATTTAGGAATCCAAAAGGGCCTGAAATCTAAAGGGTTGAGAACACCCTGCCTTCATCTAACTGCTTCAGATAGAGCTGGCTTCCCACCTCCCTCACATGAAATCTTCTAAAGCAAATATTACATCACCTGTTGACCATCAATATCCTGTTTTTCTCCACCAAGAAAAATTGAAAGCCTTATTTATTAGGCATTAATGGTGACTTTGCAAGGAGTTCGCAGCAGGACAAGTTGTACTCTGCTTTCCCAGCCCAGCCAGGGAACGACTGCAACCACAGCTCACTCAGCACGCCTCTCAGAACCATCCCCTCCAACGGTAAGGGGAACTCAGACAGAAGCTTCTCAGCGACTGTGCTTTGTGAGAATACTGCCCTGGAAATTCCACAGCTGGCAAGTACTTGAGAATTAGGTCCAAAATTCCCAACTTAACCTGTGATTCCTCAGAATGAAAGAGTATACATAGGACACATTTGTGGCCATAGGGAAATGTACAGGAGTAACAAGAAACTCGAGTACCTCTTCTCATTGGAAACGGAAAGTCTGAAAACTTAGATTTTCTTCTAGACCTCCTCAAATGATGCTCTGAAATATTCTCACCAAAGGGCTTTGCACTGTCCACCTGAAAGTAAAGGAAAGAAGTAATACTAGAATCCACTGTAGCTTCTGGAGCCCTCCCCTCATTACTGGTAATGACTGTCTCCCCTTCAATCACATAATTGTAAAGAGAAGGCTGGAGAACCATCTACATCAAAGTCTCCAAGTGTGTTACATGTTATGCCTAAAAGGAGAAACTGTCCTTCACTGAGGCTAGAACATTGAGGACATGGGCTAAACACTAGCATAAAAATCTAAAGTTAGACCCACATTATATTCCAACAACTGGTAAGCATCCCACACAGAAAGAGATCAAGTGAAGCTTTATTTCACAATCTCGTAAATATGACGGCGTTTCACATTCCTTAAACACTATGAGTAGTGCTGGCCTAAGTGGGGTCCTCACTGACAGCAAGGGATTCCCATAAGATGACATTTCTACTTTCCACATTCGTTTCTGGTCTGAGTGTCTTCATTCTTGAAAAAGGGATAATGATAACTATATTATTTTACCTATGGTGACTGACCATATTTTCCTAAAGAAAAATTGGGTAACATGATCTGCAAACAAGTCAAAATACTTGAACTAGGGACTCTTCTAAAATATCTTCAATATAGAGTTGCTGGATTTTTTTTACTTTGTTTACTTCCGTCTTTTTAAATTTTAATAAGGCAGGTTATAATGTTACTTTTCATTCTACTTTAATATACTGACTTGAATTTACAGTCTTTACAACATCAGGTTTTCTAAATTTTAATGCCTCTACTTAAGGAAATATCACATATCAGAAAATCTAACTAAATAAAAAATTATGTAAAATCATTAATAAAAGAGCTTGGCACATAGGAAAAGCTGTATAAGAATTTGTCAAATTAAATAGTATTAAGCAAGTTTTAATCCCTTAAGAAATCTACCAAGATTTTAAGGTTACTTAGTTCATAATGGCATGGACTGAAGTTGTATTTTATAATAATTTGCATCAAATCAAGTAAATCAGATTTATTTTCAATAAAATGAAATAAATGAACTCAATTAGATATTTTATGGTGCCATGTTTAAAGATTGGTCGTTAGATTTTTAGCCAGATGTCATTACCCAGGCCTCCAAGACAACAGCTGTTGTATATTTTTTGTAGGTAGCTGTTCAGCAGTTTCTAGCCAAACAGCTCTGTTCTACCTACAAACCAACTCTACATACAGTCATCTCAACAGCACCTTCACTTCAAGACTTACTACACTTCACAGTCTCTGTCTAATACATAAACATTAACAGGGGTGGCTTTAAATCAAAATAGCAATGTAATGATACTATCAATAGTTAACATTCTGGAGCATAAGTCATTAAATAGAACATGAAATTGTGTTCATGTAGACTATGAAATAATACAGAAAATTTTTAATATAATGTTAATTGGAATATATAGGAAAACTAATCTATACATACAGTAAAATTACAACTTTGTGGAAAAAATTAAGCCTATGAATGCAAAAATAAGGCAGAGAAATTGCGTCAAATTAAATCAAACAATGATTTTATTATACTGGTAAGCCAATGGATAATTTTTTTCTTGAACTTTTCTATGTTTTCCATTACGTTTATAGTAGCAAAAAATTTGTAGGCCGCGTGCAGTGGCTCATGCTGTAATCCCAGTACTTGGGGAGACTGAGGCGGGTGGATCATTTGAGGTCAGGAGTTCGAGACCAGCCTGATCAACATGGTGAAACCTCATCTCTACTAAAAATACAAAAATTAGCCAGGTATGGTGGTGGGCACCTATAATCCCAACTACTCAGGAGGCTGAGGCAGGAGAGTCACTTGAACCCAAAAGGCGGAGGTTGCAGTGAGCTGAGATCATGTCACTGCACTCTAGCCTGGGTGACAGAGAAAGACTCCATCTCAAAAAAAAAAAAAAAATTGTAAAGAGACTAAGAGAACTAGTGTGATTAAATTTGTCCACTACCTGAGGGCAAAATCTAAGATGACTTTAATTAAGGGCTTTGAATATGCCACAACATTGCTTCTTCCTGCAAACAAACTTTTCTGGCTTTTCAAAGTATGGCCACTGAGCACCAATCTCATTAAGAAAATTCAGGAGACTAAGTCAGGGGAGTTGCTTGAACCTGGGCAGTGGAGAATGCCATGAGCCGAGATCATGCCGCTGCACTACAGCCTGGGCAACAGAGCAAGACTCCTTCTCAAAAAAAAAAAAAGAAAAAGAAAAAGAAAGAAAACTCAGGCAGTTTTCTCTAAAACTGATGAAGCTTTAGTTCTGGACTGATACAGAGTGCATGCCAACCTTAGCTATGTGTTTTCAACCTCTGTCAGTTCATTGACTCTTCAGGATAATGGCAAGTTATCATTATACTCTGTTAATAATTTTCAAAAATTAAAAATAGGGATGGCTGACATTTACTGAGCAAATCCCCTGTAAAGGTACCTTTCTAGGAGTTTCCTGACAATGATCTAGGAAATTAACATAATTTAATCACAATTATTATTCAATTTGAAGTCCCTTTTTATTTAATATTACTCATTTGTTTTTATAGCTCAATCTTCCTTTATTCCACACTCATCCACATCCTCACTATTGCAAAGTACTCTAAAAAATAATTTTAGGCTCACATGTCTAACAACGAATGGAGGCTTGCTTCCTCCAAAGATTTTGAAATTATTTCCAAGGTTCAACTGAGCTGGCTGGTCCTGGAAGAAACGCCTGGTAGAATATGGAGAGGGAGCCCGGGCTTGCATGCCTTTGGGCAGTCTATTGAGATTATTCTCCTTTGGTTTCATCTTTATAGTATTTAATATTGGTTCATGTGATGTAAATAAAGGCCTTCGTGACTCATGTCTTTCTTCCTGAAATAAACAAACAAAAAAGAATATTTTTTAAAATAAACAAAGAAAAGAAGAAAATTCTATCAGAATATAACTGTATTTAATTGAACTTTTACAAATTAAGGTAGAAAACTGGACATCTCAGATATATAAAACATAAATTTAAGGAAGGACATTTCTCTAATTTTTGTTCCTGTTCAGTTTAACATCAGTAGTATTTATAACTTGCTAGTATAATGTATTCAACTAATTAACAGTTAGCTTCATTTATAATAGGGGAAAGTTAGAAAGTGTCAGACACCTCCAATAGATGATAAAGAATTTGACACACACTGGGGTCTGGCAATTTCACTTCCAGGAATGTATTATAAGGAAATAACTATGGCTATATGTATATCTACAAAAATGCTTATGATAGTTTAAAAGTTAGAAATCAACTGTATTAGTGAGTAAGCAATTGCGCTCACTTGCAAATCCACCTCGGCCATATGAGACTGGTCCAGGGACTCTACAAACCCTCTTTTTGCTTTTCCAGCTGGTCTCTTTAGCCTCTGCCACTAGAGGGTGCTAGAGAAAGTGCAAGGCTGGAGGAGCTATGGTGACTGGCTACTTTCAGTTTTGCATTCTATTCCTGTTAGCATCATTCCAGCAACCATTGTTCGCCTGGACAGCTGCAAATGGCTCCACATTACAGCCTTTCCCCTATTATGCCAGAACTAGCCTCATTGCACCCCCTCAGATATACCAGCAGCAGCTGGCCAAAGCCCCATATTCAGATTTGCATTTAGCATCACAGGAACCTTCCTCCAAGCTCCTGTGGCACCAGCAGTGAGCAGTGACCCTCCTTAGAGATCTGAGTCGCAGCTCATCAGAGTCCCCCCTTTGAATTCCTGAAGAAGCATCCAGGAAAACAGCCCCTCTTCAGAGGTCTGGGTCCCATTTCTGCAGTCTCTTCTTTAAGCTTCTGTGTTCTTCCTGAACCAACATCTTCCCTTTGTTTTCCCAGCCCTAAAGGTGGAAGCTGCTTCCTGCAGTTACTCTGTCATTTCAGCGTTCCCCTTTTAGCTTTCAGTCTTCCAACCCGTTTAGCCATTTTTTTCCTTTTTCTTTGAGACAGAGTCTCACTCTGTTCCCAGACTAGAGTGCAGTGGTGCAATCTCGGCTCACTGCAACCTCCTGATTCCCTGGTTCAAGTGATTCTCCTGCCTCAGCCTCCTAAGTAGCTGGGATTACAGGCACTCACCACCACGCCCAGATAATTTTTATATTTTTAGTAGAGACGAGGTTTCACCATGTTGGCCAGGATGGTCTTGATCTCCTAACCTCGTGATCACCCGCTTCGGCCTCCCAAAGTGCTGAGATTACAGGCATGAGCCACTGCGCCCCACCAGCAATTTTTAAAAATTAAACCTTTCTGTTACAATCACAAGTTTGGTATGGCTTCCTGACTGGACCGTTACTGATATATTGATTAAGTGCTCAACAAAAGGAAAAGAGCGGCCAGATTATAGTATTTCCATATGGAATACTAGGAAGCCACAAAAAATTGTCTGGCATAAGAATACTTGGGGACATGAGAAAATGTTCATGATAAATTAAATGAAAAAAGAAGGGTACATTCCAAAGCAACGATGTCTTAGGGAAAAAAGAAAAAAGAAGGGTACAAAATAATATGCACTGCATCGTGATCTCAATCTTTTGTAAAAGTATGTATGTGTATACAGAATATACCAAAAAACATTAATGCTGATCTCTAAATGGCAAGAATGAGACAGGTTTTTAAAATTTTTGGCCCTTTTTGCTTATTTATCTTTGTTTTCTAATTTTCTAAAATAAAGTGATATTTTGTTTTAAGAAAAAAACAGACTGAATGTGGTAGCTCATGTCTGTAATCCCAATACTTTGGGAGGCTGAAGCAGAGGATCTCTTGTGGTCAGGAGTTCAAGAAAAAAGAAAACCTATTTGTTTAAAAAGTTAACACTGAAAGGAAGACCTATACTAGGAATAGAATTTAAATGGTAGAATGGAAGAGAAAGAAACACTGAACAACTGCTATAAACACAACACAAATAAATTGGTGAGATGACAGAATAAATAAGGATAAACCAAAAGCAGATAATGCCTTCCTTAAAATTAATCATTGGTCTCCCATTATATGAGTTATTATGCTAAGAGGATTGATAGATTTGTACAGATTATTGGCTCTTCTCATTCAATATTCCTTAACACACAGCCCACATTTTCAAGGTCTTTTCTATGACCATACATGGGATCTGGGATAAGCATTTTGTTTCACTTACAGGTTTTACTTTACCCTGTCCCAAAGTTTCACACACTACCTTTATTTCTTCTCCATCTTGTCTAGAAAGTATTTTAAATGGCAACAACATTGTAAACAATAAGGTAAAAGCAAAACAGAAAGAAATTGGGGTGAGGGGACACCAGGACTGAAGAAGACAGTAAAATTGAGGTAGTACACATGGATGCCCTAAGACCCATCATGCTTACCAAAGATGGACCACGAATACAACTCTGAGTGTCAGCCTCAGCAAAAGAAAGATGGCCCCGGCGGGGCAAAGACTGTAGCCAAGAGGAAGAACTGGCAAGAGCTCACTCCGTCCGCGCAGCGTAAACTCGCGCATGCGCACTGGCCTTTGGCCAAGCAAGCTCTGTGGCTTTTGCCCTGGATGCTCAGCGTTAGGCAGTTTACGATGCTCATCGTTTTCCGGGCTCTGACGCCAGATCCATACTATTCTGTAAACTGAGGCGGTGATGCCCAAAAAATGGAAGCAATTACTCTAGGGTATCAAAAGACTGAAGCAAGCAATGAAACCTTTGCGCGGAGAGAAGGGAGACACAGCACGTGTGCGCAGCACCGCCCTCTTTTGGCGAAGCACCTAGGCCTGGCCCCTCTGGCGACCTGTAGCACGGCGGAGCAAGCACAGGTTTGCAGTCGCCATGGAGCCCAACGGGACCTACGAGCTGGGCTTCGTGGGTATTCGCTTCTGCCAGGAATGTAAAAACATGCTATACCCCAAGAAAGACAAGGAGAACCGCATTCTGTTCTATGCGTGCCGGAACTGTGATTACCAGCAGGAGGCTGACAACAGCTGCATCTATGTCAACAAGATCACGCACGAAGTGGACGAACTGACCCAGATTATCGCCGACGTGTCCCAGGACCCCAGGTTGCCGCAGACCGAGGACCACCCGTGCCAGAAGTGTGGCCACAAGGAGGCTGTGTTCTTCCAGTCACACAGTGCCCGGGCTGAGGACCCCATGCGTCTGTACTACGGGTGCACAGCCAGCCCCACACTGCGGCCACCACTGGACCGAGTGACCTCACCTCTCCCCCGAGTGTAATTAACACCAGAGTCCATGTGGAAAAAAAAAAAGATGGCCCCATGTTTACTGCAGCATTATTCACAATAGCCAAGATTTGAAATCAACCTAAGTGTCCATCAACAGACGAATGGATAAAGGAAATATATACACACAATGGAGTACTATTCAGCCACAAAAAAGAATGAGATCTTGTCTTGTAACAACATGGATGGAAGTTGAGGTCATTATATCAAGTGAAATAAGCCAGGCACAGAAAGACAAACATCACATGTTCTCACTTATTTGCGGGAGCTAAACATTAAAACAACTGAACTCATGGAGACAGAGAGTAGAATGAGAGTTACCAGAGGATGGGAAGGGTAGTTAGTGAGGGGTGGGGAAGATGGTTAATGAGTACAAAAAAAAATAGACTGAATAAGATCTAGTATTTGATAGCACAACATGGACTATAGTCAATAGTAATTTAATTGTAAATTTTAAAGTAACTAAAATAATATAATTGAATTGTTTGTAACTCAAATGATAAATGTTTTAGGTGATGGATACCTCATTTACTTTGATGTGATTATTACACACTGTATGCCTATATCAAAATATCTCATGTATGCCATAAATATACACAGGTACTATATATCCATAAAAAATTAAAATTTCTGGCCAAGTGCAGTGGCTCATGTCTGTAATCCCAGCACTTTAGGAGGCAGAAGTGGGCAGATCACAAGGTCAAGCCACGGTGAAACCCCAATTCTACTAAAAATACAAAAATTAGCTGGGCGTGGTGGCACATGCTTGTAGTCCCAGCTACTCGGGAGGCTGAGGCAGGAGAATCGCTTGAACATGGGAAGTGGAGGTTGCAGTGAGCCAAGATCGGGCAACTACACTCCAGCCTGGCAACAGAGTGAGACTTGAGACTCCGTCTCAAAAAAGGAAAAAAAAAAATTTTTTTAATTTAAAATTTTTATTTTATTTATTTATTGTTTTTTGTTTTTTTAGATGGGGTCTCACTCTGTAACCCAGGCTGAAGTACAGTGGAACCATCTCAGCTCACTGCAGCCTTGACATTCTGGGCTCAAGTGATTCTCCTAGGTAAGCCTCCCAAGTAGCTGAGGCTACAGGTGCATGCCACCAAGCCCAGCTAATCTTTGTATTTTTGGTAGAGATGGGGTTTCACCATGTTGCCCAGGCTCTTCTGTAACTCCTGACCTCAAGTGATCCACCCGCCTCGGACTCCCAAAGTGCTGGGATTACAGGCGTGAGCTACCATGCCCAGCCTAAAATTTTTTAATTTTTAAAAAAAGAAAGATGGAAACTATTGTTCATAAGATCAAAAGTCGGCGGGGCTCAGTGGCTCACACCTGTAATACCAGCACTTTGAGAGGCCAAAGCGGGCGGATCACGAGGTCAGGACTTTGAGTGAGACCAGCCTGGCCAACATGGTGAAACCCGTCTCTACTAAAAATACAAACATTAGTGGCACGTGGTGGCAGGCGCCTGATGGCCCAGCTACTCCGGAAGCTAAGGCAGGAGAATCCCTTGAAACCAGAAGGTGGAAGTTGCAGTGAGCGGAGAACGCGCCATTGCACTCCAGCCTGGGCAAAAGGGCGAAATTCCGTCTCAAGAAAAAACAACAACAAAAAAGTAAAAGTCATAGAACAACAACAAAAGCCAAGTAGCTG